AGTCGGGGAAAATGCTTACATAAGAGCATGTTTTCTGAACCTCATCCACCTCATAGCATCTTCCAAATTTTTAGTGCTAAAAGTTTCTCAGAGTAATTAAAGGCTGAGCTGATCTAATTAGTTTGATGAAATTTTCAGTAGGGATTTAATTCTCCCTAGCACTTCACTTGCTTTTTTTTTTTCCTAGAAGCCTTTCTTAGGCTCATCCCAAGCAACATTTAGTGACAGGATTCTAAATTGCCTCACACAGGCAGTGTCTCCACTCAAAGAATGAGAGCAGGTATATATGGCTAAAAAGCAAACTTCAAATACAAAATTCTATGTTGTTTTATTGAATACCATCCTTTCATACCTCTTCAATTTTATTTTTCCTCCTAATAAATGATCCATATATATAAAAACCTAAGCGACTGCCCGACCATCTGACTGGTCAGTAGCTATGATACATACTGACCACCAGGGGTCAGACGCTCAACTCACATGCATGGAGACATGGAACAGACTAATGAATCTCAGAGGGAAGCGGGGAGGGCGGGAAGAGATTAACCAAAGATCTTATATGCATACTAGAGGCCAGGTGCATGGATTCATGCACCAGTGGGGTCCTTCGGCCTGGCCTGCAGGCAGGCCCCAACCGGCTCTCTGACATCCCCCCAGGGGTCCCAGATTGCGAGAGGGTGCAGACCAGGCCGAGGGATCCCACGGGTGCATAAATCCCTGTACCGGGCCTCTGGTGTTAAATAAACTTCACTCTGCAGATGGGAAATAGATGTTTCAAAGCATTTTGGAGGCACAAAGAAATGCATATAGCAAGAGATTCTAAGGCAAGATTAATGAGAGAGCAGCATGACCCTTACTTGTAAGTCATTTTCTAACAGCACCAAGTCCTCATGGCCAAAATATTCAGAAAGAAATACATATTAGTGAAATGTTCCTCCATCTCTGAGGATTTTTTTTAAAAATCTCTATAATGAGCATCTTAGAAATCATCTCTGATACTTTTATATAGAACAATGTATTCCAAGTAGTCTAAGGTGAATGGACAGGTCTGTAGATGTCTTCAAATAGATTCCAAGCATCCCACTTAGATGCCATTTATCTTTTTGCAGGGTCAACCAATTCCCTCTTGTGGTATAATAGTCACTTAAAACTTCTTGTTGGGAAAATTAAATTAAATTCAAAATGATGAATAATTCTTAAGGAACATATATTATAGCTTTTACTCAATGTTATAAAAATGCAATTAAAATATAAACAAATGTTTCTTGCCAGAGCATTGGTATTGCTTTTGTAAACAACAGATTGAAATAGCATAATTTTTAAAGGTGTATTATTCTCTAAAAATTTCATAGATGCGAGCTGTATATAATGGTAATTTATTATTTAAAAATTTCCTGTTTTTTCTTAAATTTATTTCCTTTGAAAGTAATTTTCAGTAGCTCAAACATTTATCCAAAGATTTTTCCATGTACTTATAATAAAAATATAAGTTTTAAAAAACTGCTTTGATCCTCCATTATAAATTCGTGGCCATTCAAATTTCCCTCTCATTTTGAACAAAGTATAATGTATAAAGTTCAGGTTAGATTTTGTTGAACTAATTTTACTTTATTTTGAAATTTAACACCCCCCCCAAAAAAAAAATAACATTCTTAATAAGGGTTGGTTGCTCTACATGCAAACCAAGTCTTATTTCAAATAGGCATTACCAAATGCCATATATATAAAGCCCTAATTGTTTCACTATGTAGAATTTCTTCTTTAACTTTAATCTTTTAAGAATGAAGATGTGAATACATGATAGTGGTAAGACATTGTTAAGTCTGTACCTTGAGTGCCACTCTTTACAATGAAAGAGAGCCAGCCATTCAAATATTATATTTTATCTGACAGGATTCTGTGTTCTAATCCTGTTACCCCCTCATTGCTCTTGATGGGTCTGCAACTTCTCTAGCTCAGTGTCCCCATTTCCAAAATAAGGAGGTTGGACTGGAAGAATGATTTACAGGATCCTTTCTATTCAACACTCCAAAATTTCTTCTCTGACTTCAGACAGGTGCTATGAGTGTCTCCCCCAGGACTGGTCATCCTAAGAGGGATTATGTACTAGATTGAAAAAAAAAATGTTATGAGCCATAAATGAAACCATAATTAAGGTTTTATACATGCAATGTGATACAGGGCAGAAAGCCCAACAGAGTTCAGGAAGGCTTCCATGGGCTGAGTGTTAAAAGAGATGTGGTGAGAATGAACATGGGCATGTTCCTCCTGTCTTTTCAGTAATAATACAAAGCTCAGCTATCTGAAACAAGGTGATTTAACTCAAAATCTATGATACTTTGTCACAATTTCATTTCAGAGTTAGGAAGAGCAGGGCATTCTAAATAGTCATTCAGACACGGATGGAAGCTATGAACCATCTGAAAGCCCTTTGAGTGAGGTCTGTTTTGATTTGTAGGCTGATTGTGCCTGCATCCTTCCACCCTCTAGTGTGTTGGGAGGAAATAAAGTGCAAGAGATTACACATCAAAACGACTGCAGCACTTGCTCTAAACACATGCCCCAGGCTGTGGAAGAGAGATGAGGGATGCGCCCAATCGCTAAAGAGGAGTGATAGCTATCCCAAACCTATAAAAAGACAATAGTATGAGTGAATCCTCACTGCATGGATTCAGTAGCTACCAATTAAGTGCCATTGGAGAGACCACCTGACTTGTTTTTTGCTGTCGTGTGTTTTATGTGTGCGGTTGAAAGACCAATTGAAAAAAGATTAATTCTAAAGTGTGCGGACTACTCGTTATCATTTAAACATGAAAGACATTAATCTGAAACTGCAATTTTAGCTTAAGGCAATTCACTGTAGCTTCATACACACACACAATTGCCCCGCCCACAGACAGTGAGGTTCAGCTAAACTCAGGCGTTGACTGCAGAAATACTCATGTTCTTACAGGATACCTGAAAGGGCTCTTTAGCTAGAGATCCATAGATTCCCTTTCCTTTTTCCAGTCCTTGTGGGGACTAACTTCCTATAGATAAGCAGGACATACGGGCTGATGGTAGGCTGGCCTGTTGAGAGTGAAAGTGAGGAAATAGTGTGGGTGTGGCTTGCTTCTTTCTCCAACCCCAATTCCCATCACCGGAGGGGGTTTCAAACATCTGATGTTTTGAAATTATGTTTCTTACCATGTTCCTCCCAACTAGAAATACTTTATCTTTTGCCTATCCAAACCACAATTATCCTTCAAGACTTTCATATTCTTACTCTTCTGTGTATCATCCTTGTCTACCAGATGTCTCTCTCATTTCACTCTTTTGGAACTCCACTGGGTGTAACTGAGCCACACAATTTAAGACCCCATTCCTCACAGTCTACTGCACATTTCTAAAAAACAGTTCTCAGTTTGTAGCAAACTGAAGGGTTTGTACACTTTTCTACAGCAAGAACCCTAACATACATTTTTGTTGGGACGCAGCATATTATGGGCTAAGAACACAAAAGACTCTGACATCCTACTTCCCTGATTAAGCCCTAGGCCTCAATACTTCTTACATGAGATCTTGCTCAAGAAACTTACTATTCTGAACCTCAGTTTCCTTATCTGAAAATGCAGATAATAAAATTACCACCTATATTGTGGAGATCCCTGTAAAGCTCTTAGGATAGTATCAGGCACAAAATAAGAGCTCAAAAAATGTCAATAACATTATTATAATAATTATAATAATTATCATTATTTTATTATGTCCACAGAGATTAACACAATCCTGACTCATTCTATATATTTTTAAAGAGTAGAAGTTATTCCCTGGGAAAGAATCGATCCCTCCCACCACAAAGTCTGGTTAGATCCAGCCTGTCAGAATTATATCTCCTTGCATTTGTTAAAACTATAGCATTTCTAATCCCCCTTAGGACTCTTCTATACACTACTGGCTGGGCAGTGCCACGCCCAGTGAGTTCACATAAATGGAAAACAAGTAAGGATGACCTCAGCAGTGACTGTTTTTCACTGATGCTTGCCCAAATCAAGTTTATATGATTAGAATATTTTTTTAAAAATTATTCAAAGTATGTCACTGCTTATCAACAACACCCACAGCTAACCCGTAATAAATTCAGTTATTGAACTTTACATTTTAGAGGTCTATACCAAGCATGTCTTAGCCCATGGGCTGCATGCCTCGTTTATTTGGCCCATGTTAGCCTTTAAGTTTGTCATGCTTGGTCTACACCATCAAACTTCAGCTCAATGAAGCAAGAGGAACCTCTGGCTGCAGAAGCCACAAGAAACTGGGTTAAGCTAAATAAAAACAGGCAGCTCTTATGGGAAAATATTCGCACAAATTGAAATTCAAGAACTCTGTGATCTTTCTCTGCTCATACCCCAACAAGTGCCAATTCCATCAAAAGTTACAGCACTTAATGACGGAGAAGGATGAGGATGAAGTGACTGATATCTTTTATCCTGAGAGAGTTGGTCAAGTAAACATCAAGTAAGCTCATCAGGTCACAAATGAAACATCTTTACTTCCTTCAGAACATATTGAATATGTCATAACAAAACTGTTTCATCATATAGACTCGTTTTTTATAGTCTCTCTCTTGTAGCCTAACTTTTTTCCAGTAATGCTCAAACATGACTGTACAGTATACATAACACCCAAGGCATTTAAGTAAAAATGAGCAAAGCAGTTACCTGAACTCCAGACACTGTATTTCTTTGTGTTTGACTTTCTTTTATAGCTATTATGCAGCTGCCCATGCAGATCTTAATTGTGAATTACAGTCTACTTCAGAAGAGGAACTTAATTCCTTCATAATGTCCTATGAGCTGCCCACCTCCCCCAATCCTACATAAACATCAGTAGAATACTGAACTTAAGGTTGTGTCAATGGACTCCACAAACATCAGGTCTTCAGCAAACGTGCTTTCAATCCAGATCTGAAATGATGAGGTCATGAATTAGGAAGTGATTCTGGTGGCGGTGATATTTACCTCTTTGAGACAGCCCATAAAGTTGTTACTGACTGGAGACCCTGGGAGGTCTGCTGTGCTGGGACTGCCTCCGACATAGAAAAAGTCATCAGAACCCAGCATGGTGTAATCTTCTTGCGTGTAGCCCGTTGTGGTAAGAATCCCATCCACTGAGATTGTCACCTAGATAACAAAGCACAGGGAAAGGACACGCTATACTCAGACCTAGATACTGTAATCCTGGGATATGCCTGTTTGTGTTTTGTTTTATTTTTTCATTTTGCTTTTTTTTTTTTTTTTTTTTTTTTTTTTTTTGCTTATTGTTTTTTTCTGTTTTAGTTTTTGTTTGTTTTTTTTAGACCTATAGCGGAACCCATTTTCATGTCTGTTTGAGGTTTATCTTAGATTCTATTCAACTAGCCCTAAGAGAGCTAAGCTAGTTAGAGAGTTAACTGATTATTGAACTACTGTGTCAGCATCATCCCTACTGCAACTCAAAAGTTATTGAGCAGACACAAAAATGGTGTTAGTAAAATGCTTCCTAGGTTAGTTTTGCTGGTGTACATATTAGTAGAGTTTAGTCGTCCGTTATTAACTAATCACAACGTGCACCTTGTTAACATAAAAGGCACAAGCTATTTCCAGCAACGTCACTCTTGGCACTACTGAGCGGCGGTTGTCATGCAAGTGCCTGCGCCCATGCCGAAGGGGAGGGAAGGCAAAACAACCCGTGGAAGCGGCACGCCCGATGCGCACATGCAGGGGACAGTACGGTTCAGAGAGGGAAGGAAAGAAAACAGGGGGAACCAAAGGTAAAACAAACCAACAAACAAACAAAAAAACTGCTTTGTGATGACGTAAAGATGAGTGGGTGTGGCATCTCCAACATTCCCAAATCAAGTGTGCATGCCATGCGTCATGAATGGTTAGAGACTGGCTGAGCCTGCGGTCACTCCGGCCAGCCACCATTTGTCTGATCCCGTGTTAACCACAGCTGGATGCAAAACGTTCGAAACGTTAACGATGCCCCCTACAGGTGAGTTGGAAAACAGAAGTTGACAGGAACAGGTAAAAAATAAGAAGGTCCACAACAGATGAAAAGAAGGAGGTCAAAGTAAGCAGAAGAGTACCAACCGCAGTTCCTCTTTTGTTAATGATGTCTACAGTTAAAAGAAAGAAAGAAAACACACGGCAAACCCAAAATAAGAAACAATTAGAATGATATCTACCGAACAATGTAGTTTGTTTACCATAGCGTGTCCAATGCCTGAGTGCTTTGTGGAGAAGGGGGGAGAAAGGAAATTAAAAACTGTGAACAGAATAACGATCGTTACTTAAAAAATATGATGGTCTCTACCATGTTAGTACATTTTTTTTTTGATTCAGGTAACGGTTAGTAGAATGAAACATTCCATGAATGACATGTTAGTTATTAAGCATGTTAGTAACATAGAAAAAGGGCAAAAAAATTTTACAAGAAAAAAGCAGACTAACAAATAGGCCTCCCACAGAGGTAAATATTTTTTCCTGCCAGTTTTGTTCATAACTTGCTACCAGACAGAAACAGACATATGGCAACATTCCCTTTGTCTCCCTGAGTACATCTGACAGACATTTTAAAAAGCTTAGAAGGGATTCAAAGGCCTGAAGCTCATCAGCTGACCACTGCCACCCTATGCCCATAAGTGACCCCGCCCCCGCCCTGGCCCTCCCCAGCCCCAGCAAATTCGTAGGAATCGGTTGGCATTGCCCTGCTACTCAATTTTACAGCATACAAGGACTCCTCCTCAACTCCAAAACTTCCTTCGGTCATATTGATGGACTTTAGGGTCACAGATTACTGCAATGAAACAAAGCAAAGATCCTGACACATAAAATGAGTAGAATGGGTTTGTGTTTAATCTGTCCTGCCACACATGCACCCCGGCTGAACGGCTACGGTGTCCTTTGAGCTACCAATTCAGAGTTTGCTCTGGAACCTGAGCAAAGGCAAATCTAGAAAGTGGGCTCCTCAAGCCCCACCCTTCCTTCTGTGCTTCTCTCAGATGAGCCTCCGGTCTCTTGGTGAGTATCTGAGAGAAGGAATAAAGAAAGGAAAACCAAAGAGACAGACTTATCGGAAGTCCGGGTTCTACAGCTGTACTGAGGGTGGGTGACCGCCTCCCAAGGCCGGTGTGATGCCTGCAGGGCCCCTTGCCTGCCAATCAGGCCTCTGACAGGTGCTCGGGGAGGTCTCGGGAATCCTCCAGTTTCACTGGTCTGCCTTAGCTCGGCTACCGCTGCTATCCTACAATCCCCCTTGCCTTCTCTCCCTTGGCTAGTCTAAGCCTCTCCGAAGTGGGAAAGAAAAGGTTAGACAGTTAACAGCTCAGAAAGAGAGGGCTGTTTTAGGAAAGGAAAACCCGAGACAATCGATCACTCTGCAACTGTTCAGAGAAACAACAAATATGTTAAGGATATTAGTTTGAGATCAGTATGGACTGCAGAAAATTAGTCACTGTCAACACTTCACAAAAGACACACTGTAATTTCATGAATTTCAAATGATAACCAAAACTTATCATGTTCAATATATAAGCATAATCTATTCACTGTCATCTGTGTATATATATATTTATATATACTGTAATAATATGTCTCAGTTAAAAACATACAGTATATGTGGACCCATAGATTAACTACAGAATGGATCATTATCTTGTATATAGACTTCTGCAAGATTTTTTTTAAAAAAATACAATTAAATAGAAATGGACACCTAGAATGTCAACTGGCCTCTTGGGAGTCATTTGGGTTAAACTAAAAGTGTCTGTTCTAAAAATAAAATTAAAAAAATAGGTAACTTCATAAACAGACTCTTCAGGAGATATGTAAACTCCTAAAGCCACTTTTCCCCCTGCAGGGATTTTTCTTGTCCCCATTTCAAAGGTGGGGGGTGGGAAGGGGGTAGGGATTGATACAATCCCCGATCACAAACACATGTTTATTGACTACAAAAAAGGAACTGTGATTTAATGACCCCAATGTGCATGCTTCCAAATGATCACCATGAAAACTATAATTTAAAATCAAACAAATAAAAATCAAAAAACACAACAAAACCACACACATCACAGGAAGGGCAGGTCGCAGAGATATCCTTGCAGCCCTCTGGGAAACTGTCCTATGTCGCTGTATCAAAATAGCCTTTGGGCCCCCAGAACTTTCTAGATATGCCCCTGCTCAAGTATGGCAGGAAGATTCATCTCAAAAGAAAAACAAAACAAAACAAAAAAAACACAGCTAATTTGTAAGCGACTCTGAGGAGCCCTGGATCATGTTGTTAGGGTTTCCAAGTACCACACACACAGCTGTAGCGAGAAACAAAGCCAGTTACTCTCTTATCCACTGCGCTGTTACCTGACGCAGATTCCTGGTGACTTTCACATCATGCCAGGCATTATCATTAAACTTTCCGTTCACGGGCTCCACTAGCGCTTCAAAGGCCCCTGATCCCAAATTAATGACCAGAGAGACAGCTCCATTTTTCAGGGCAAGATTGACATAATCAGCGGATTTCCCAGTGTGAAGCATCAGTCCATTCCTTTGAAGGGTTTTAAAGGACAGAGTTATTTCATCGCTGCTGCTTTGAATGGGGTTTTGAGACAAGTCGTAGCAGAAGTATTCAGATCCCTTGAAAGTGGCAATATATTCTTCTTTTCCTAGAGGGAAACAGATACATAGGTGCATAAGTAAAGCAATAGACTATGTAAATCAGCAGATCACAACAGAAAAAAAAAATAATCCGTCTGCAAATTAACTCTTTGGCTTATAAACATTTCTGACTGAGGCCAGCCCTGTCAAAGAAAGTCAAAAAGTACTGTAGGTGGCAGTATATACCATCCAATCAACCTCCTCAGCCATTGGGCCATTAACTATGGTAGCTAAATCTGACATTCTTGAAAATTCAATTAATTTTTAAGTATCACTGCAAGAGCTCTGATCAGAAAGAAGTAGGTCTGTGATATCTCCAGGGCACGAATCAGGTACCATAAATGCATAGGGGATGGTTTTACTCTGCTGGCAACAATGGTTTCCAATGCACTGCAACATTCTCTCCATCCAACTGAGGCATTATTTTAATTTTCAGTAAGATGTTTATATTCAAAGATCTTCTCAGTGAAGAGCCAAATGTGTTCATCACTGAGAAGCCATAACGAAGTATCAGGTGAGGGGAAAGCAAAGAAAAGAAATAGAATTTTGTCTGGGAGTAAATAGGTTTCTTATAGATCATGTGCATTTTTTTTTTCTCCCTGGATAAAGGGAGCAGTGATAGAAAACTTAATGGAGTCAGCTGGATTGTTGATTCATTCCCCAATCTCATCAAACAGATGATAGGGCTGGCTTTTATGAGACTGGTAGGAATTTCCAGCACACCATTATGGGGATAGCATATAAATGAAGTCTCAAAATTTTTCTATATATTCAGACTTTACCATATGTAGGAGTAACAATGTGAATCCCACAAGATGCTATACAGATCAAACAGAAATGTGGCTATTTGGAAAGAACTGTCTTGTCCCACAGATGAAATGAGTTTAACCAAAGGAAGAGTGTGAGCCAAAAGCTCCCTCAACATCCTGGGCAATTATGGCATGGTGCCAAGAAAACTGAGATGGTCTGGAATCAGCGTCTGCTAAACTGTAAACATGAAACTCCAAGTGGTACTGAAGAATCTTAATCCATTTCACTGGTAATATAGCATCTCTACTATGCCCACTGGAGGGTTCATATACCAAAAGAAGTCTCACTCTAATGGTGGCAATATATATCTATAAATAGATAGATATCCTATCAATAAATGAAAAGATCCTCAATCCTATGAGTCTCCAGGAAAAGGCACAAATCAAACTATATTAAGATATAATTTCATAGCCATAACATTGACAAAAACAATTTTAAAAACTGGACAATTCCAGGTTTTGGAAAAGCTGTGAATAAACAGTAATTCTTGTCTTCTGCCAATGAGACTGCTGATGAGATGAAAACTGACCGACTATAATAAATGCTACTTGGCACCATGCATTACTGTGGGAATTTTACATCTTATAAAGGTCTCAGTCCTTAGAAAATGGTTACCATGATCAATAAAAATAACATTCCCTAGTTCTTTCAATGTACTACTCTCTGCTCATAGTTTTGATCATTAGATGACAGGTAGTCAAGTGAATTGGGTTCATATATATGTACATACATGATATACGGTAGTCCTCTTATCTGAAGATGATATTTATAAAATTGTCATCTCAATGCACTACTCTCTGCTGATAGTTTTGATCATTAGATGACGGGTAGTCAAGTGAATTTGGGTTCATATACATGTACATACATGATATATGGTGGTCCTCTTATCTGAAGATGATATTTATAAAATTGTCATCCCTAGGGAGTATTCAGAACAGGTCTCTGAGCCACGGGGAGTTTTAAAGGTCCACCTCAAATCTTTAATTTACATTATGAAGAAAGTGAGGCCGTGAAATCTAAATGACTTGCCAAATTCAGAAAGTGTGCCAGTAACCGAAGCAGGGCTAGACCTCAGCCTTCGGACTACCCTTAAATAATGAAAAACAAAGTTTGGGGACTTGAAGAGATTTGGTCTAAGTAAAGGCTGTAGCATTTTATCCACGTGACCTCATATCATTCCAAATCTGCATAAGTTGGGATGAATCTTGACAAAAGATTTGTTTGCTAGATAATATGGCAGAGTCAAAGGGAATCATGTTAAACAGAGTTTGCAGTTCATTAGATGGCAAGTTTTTAAGATATTTTAACACAATGATATTCCTTTTACTTAAAAATGAAAATATAGTATCACTCCTTTTGTATTGTTTCATTTCAAATTTGGGTAATTCAGATCTGCATTAAATGCACCCACACAATTTTGGAAATATTCACTCTGTAGAATATGCCATTGCCTTAGAATATAATAAATGAGATATAATATTCTTTTTCATGAAAGAAGATGCAATATATAATCATTGAAAAGTTTTTAATGCAACATTATTTATATTATTACTATTGCTATTATTTTAGTTTTACATAAATCATTCTACTTTCCATGATTAATATATGTTTTCTCCAATTCTTTGTCTGTTACTGTAAGTTTTGTGTTATGTCATATGCAAATAGCAGCACAATAAAGAGTTATATATGCTTTACTGTTACACTTAAAGAATGCATATATGTCAATTGGAAAATAGCCCAAATATCCAAATATCTAGTTCACGTCTAATATATGCTAAAACAATAAACATCAAAGACACATTTGATCCAAAGCAATACAGAATCAACAAATATTCATACCTAGGATACATTAAGAATTTATATAAGAAAAAATGGACTAGGCAAATTAACAGGAAAAATAGACAAAATACTTGAACAGACCCTCCATGATAAAAGGGCATACATATGAAAAGATGCTCACCTTTATTAATTAGTCTTCAGGGAAATAAAAATAAAACCACAATAAAATATCAATATATTTCACTAAAAAGAATAAAATGAAGAAGACAAAAAGTACCAAATGTTTGTGAGAATGTAGAGCAACTAGAACTCTCTTAAATTACTGGTGGGAACTAATTTTTGAAATTGTTTGGCAATATCTTCTAAAGCTGAATATATGTTCCCCTATGACCCAGAAATTCTGCTTTTAAGTATACATCTGACAAAAATGTACACAAAGATCATCAGAATGTTTTCAGTAGCGTTATCTATAATATCAAAATAAACAATACTGAAATACAATCAATAGTAGATTGGATAAATAAATTGGGGTATAGTCACACTAGGGAATATTAATCAGCAATGAGAATATATGCTCTACAACTACTACATGACAGATACATGGGTAAATCTCACAATAATAATGTTGAGGAAGAAAGCTAGACACAAAAGAGAACATATTTATGATTTTGTGTATATAAAAATGTTAAAACTAAACAAAACTAATCTGTACTATTGTAAGTCAAAATAATGGCTAGCCTTGGTAGAAATGGAGGGAGTCCTAGTGAGAACTTTTGGGGCTTTAGTAAAATTCTGTTCTTAATCCGGATGTTGGTAATGGATGTGTTCAATGTGAAAAAAAATCATTTTGCTCTAAACTTATGATATGTGCACTCCCTAGTATTATATTTCAATGAAAAGTTTAAGTAATTTGGATAATTGAGAATAAAACAAATTAATCTGATAAAATATTTTCTTCCTGATTAATAGGGTGATGAGCAAGATATTACTCCCATCAATGCTGCATTTATTAATAAAAACTAAAAATATAGCCCAGCTGGTATGGCTCAGTGGTTGAGCATCACCCTATGGGCCAGGAGGTCATGATTCAATTCCAGGTTAGGGCACATGCCTGGGTTGTGGTTTCAATTCCCAGTGCAGGAGGCAGCCGATCAATGATTCTCCCTCATCATTGATGTTTTTATCTCTCTCTCCTTTTCTCTTCCTCTTTGAAATAAATAAAAATATATTTAAAAACTAAAATAATAGTAATAATATAAATGATGTTGCGTTTAAAAAAACTTTCCAATGAATAGTAATATCCATTAATATAATTTGTTCTTCAAAATACCCTCATAAAATTTAGAGGAAATATATTAGGCTGCATGGATATAATTTTAATTGTTTGAAGGACCATACTCTAAATGTATTGATCAATGGATCAATGTTAAGATGAAGGGAATCTCTATTATTAATCATAGCAATGTTAGGGTAGAATTAGAGAAACATTAAAAAATAAACTTCAAAAACTTGGAGCATTTATTTAATAATCTATATTAATTTATTTTATGTTCCTGTAAATTGGAGGAAGAAATCTAATAGGGTGATCTTATATTTTTATTTTATTTAATTTCCAGTCCTCCAATAGCTTAGATAAAATTGCATAGTTTTTTATTTTTTCTAATTTTCTGAGGGAAAGTTCAATGGAGAAATTGGAATTCTATAATTTCTTTTAATGTTGACTGGATGAGCTGACTTTAACAAAGTTAAATCTGATGGGAATAAATATGAGTTCTAATCTCTGGTCCAAAAACCACCCAACTGAATAAGTAATAGTACTATACAGGGAACATGAGTCCCTAGACACAACAGAAATACTGGTAAAGTAAAATTTCCCAGCCGGTGTAGCTCAGTGGTAGAGGATCGATCCAAGAGCCAGGAGGTGATGGTTTGATTCCCAGTCAGGGCACATTTCCAGGAGTTGGGGGCTCAATCCCAGTAGAAACATCATCATTGATGTTTCTCTCTCTCTCTCCCTCTCCCTTCCTCTCTGAAATTAATAAAAAAGTATTTTATTTTAGAAAAAGAAATAAAGCAAAGTCTTTGGAGGATTTAGAATATGAACCATCAAATGATCAAGGCACTGAAAAAGTCCATGTAATAAGCATGGGTTACATTCATCACAATATTAGAAGAGGGATGGGATGGTCCTGTATCTTAGTGCTGGTCAGCTAATGACCGTTATACTTCTACTTGACAAGCTGGAATGTATGTGGACGTCTGCTAAGATGATAAAAGGCTTCTAGATTATGTAAGGTAAAGAACTCTCTGAAGAAAAGACTTAGGGTAAAAATGACAGCATCTCCAAATATCAGGAAATATGTCCTTTAGAAGAATAATTCCATTCTGTATGGAAGCAGGGGTATAAATAGAATCAAAG